TCAAATATATTAAAATTACCTTACTATAGTGAACTAGCCAATTAAATTTTTTAAAAAATTCGTTATAAGCTTATAACAAAATTGATATCCAGATCCTAGAATTTGTTATATCAAGAGTTTACTGTATTACCTTTTTAAATGACTCCATTCACATCTTCTCTGAGTCTAAGTTTATGTTGAATTGAAGTAAAAGATACTATACGCCAAAATTTTGTGTTAGAAATAAAGGCATGCAGAATGTGCATTAAAGATCTTAACATTTACAAGGATGGTGAGAATAATGCATATATATACTTTTTTTTCTTTATTTCACTTACCCAACCTCTCAGTAATAAAGACCTAGTAACGTCATATAAATATACTCTGGTCAAAATTTAGAAGGAATAGCCTATATTTGAGAAGATAATAAACTCATAAATAAATGCTATTCAAATAGATAGGGAAAAAATTCGAAATATTTTGGGAATCGATTTCTTATGTGTGAAAATTAATTTGTTATACAAACAGTCATACAGACTTACAGATGATTTGCAGAGTATTACCTATTATATCATATACATTTTAATGAGGATCGAAAATGTATTAATTTATGTCGCACAGGCTAACATGTATTATTATTTTATTAAGATAATATTTGGGATTTAGGTCAAGAACTAATCTGAAAAATCTGGCATATAAATTCACAATTATTATCCATATCTAACAAATCTACAGTAATCAGATTATACAATTAAGTAAGAGCTGTGATTTTTGTTAACGAGTCATATGTGACTAACCTTTTACTCATATATTTCTTATACTCTGAAATTCTGATAAAATTTTTAAAGTTAGATTTCTTATTAATATGGTAGTATTTAGGATTCCGTGACTACTTTAACATATTAATCCATTTTACCTCCTATATTAAACTTCTAATGACTATATAGTCTTGTTGATATAATAATTTCAAAGAGAGTATGAATGCTATATTTGTTAATCTTAAATGTAATTGGACTCCTTTTTCTGATATTAACTCTAAATCATTTGATCTAAAATCCCGATATTTTCAAGCAGAAATCCTTCTTAAAAACTTCATATCGTTGAAAGTACCATCATACCCCACCATTTCCCAAACCTGTTTTGCCAATGATTTGGGACTCTTCTTGTAATTCCTATAAGCTTGCTAGATAATTGTTGCATAGAAATTTTCAAACTGATAGTTATATTGTTTCGCAATCAAGAATCTCCAAAAACGCTTCATTGATCTTTCTGAACTTCTCAAAAAATACTTTACTAAAATAGTTACATACTAGAGGATCTAACCCAGAATAGGTACATCATGCATATCACCTTTGGCCAATTTTTATTCTGCAAGTAATACATTTCACAATTTCACTGGGTGATCATGTATGCAGATTATATAGCTATTCATTATGCAAAAAAAATAGTATAAGTTATACATTACGCCTTTAGCTAAATGATATTAATCTTCAGTTGAAAGCAATAGTATATAATTAAGATATTACTCAGAATCAGTCAGTTAAACGAATGTAATTTTTGTCCTATCTCTTAATCTTAATGTGGGCTGATTAAGATGATTTAGTAGTAAGTTATTTTGTTTTGCATACCGAGATGAGATAAATATTTCGTTTGTATTACTCTCTTTTGATCTATCAATCTGCAGAAGATAGAGTGATCATGATCTGATGGAATTCCTTCTGTTTTTGAATATTCAAAAAGGCATGTTTCTGTCTGATGCGCCTAATCCTTCTGGTAACATTTTCTAACCATAAAGCATAACTATATAGTTTATTATCAGCATGAATGCCAAATTTATTTAGGATGTAATTATTATCAGTTAAAACGGTATATGGTTTATGCATCTGAATTTACCAAATTGAATTATTTGATGAAAACTCATCCACTGATCCAATGGGATCAGCTGTTTTATTTTCATATATTCTTTGAAATTTAGTTTGCGAAACTTGTTTCCGGTACAAGCAGTAGCCCAATGTTGGTACATACCCCAATGTGTTCCATTAAAAGAAATATATCGAAATTTCTCAGTTTTAAACTTGCCTTCCATACAATTATAAACATATCTTTCACCTATCGACAAGCTTTCTATTCCGAGATATACCAGTTGATTGCAAGAATAGCAGATTGCCATTCCACATTTCGGTGAGTATGTTTGTCCATCAACAAGATGTGGCAATGCTTTATGAGCATAAAAGCAATCTTCCTCACCATATGTATAAGATTTTTTTATTTCGAAAATACATTAGGCGATTTCAGATCCTGTTTTTCCACTCGGAGTTTCACCATTCTCAGTATGACGCATACTAATATATTCGACATGCTCTTCATAAGTACCCTCAAACCCTGTTTGATGACTGAATGACATAATAATTATACTTGATTATAGCTATCTACCAAGTTATACTATAATAAAACCATATTCATTTTTATTGGTGAAAACAGATTCATATTTTTTGATTCAGTTAAATTAGACCCGATCAGCGTGGATGGCTAAAATATAAATTTATATCACATGAGATTTCCCTAGTTCCTAGTCAGTTCCCAGCACTTCCCTGCAACCTTCCCGCAACTCAAATCACAGATGGGGTATTCGATAAGCAGTCACATAGCATTTATAAGGATACACAGTTTAAAAAAAAGGGAAAGGCCAAAATGCTATGTTAGAACACTATTTTTTCTAATTGCCGAGACACCATATCACCAGAGCGCAGTATTATGATCTATTGGGACTCGGATACAAAGTAGCAAAACTTTATAAAATGCTTTATTAAGTATATGTCCACAGACGCAATAAACAAAAAAATATATATTTATCACATGCAGGAGTTGAGGAATTATTTCGTCCATCTATGATACTCACCATGCTTGCCGTTTACATATGGTTGGCAATAATTAGAACATCCTCGTTCAATTATTTTTTTAGGACCATGCTTAAAATTCCAAACTGCTTCAAATTGATCATCAGGTTTATCCGAATCAGTAAGAGGAACTG